GGAGGCCTCTGTGGAAAGGTAGTGTGAACAGGGACTTGTGACAAGAGCCAAACTCCTAAGCTAAGCAAAACAAAAGAGCAAAAAAGTTCAACTAGAGGCTAGAAAAAGGGAAGAACAATGAGTGATGAGAATCACAGTCCATACTTTATAAGAAAGGGAAATGAGGGGGCTGGGAAGGTGGCTCAGTGGTAGAGCGCTTGCCTTGCATGCCTGAGGCCCTGGGTTCAATTCCACATAAGGAAAAAAGAAAAAAGCCGGAAGTGGCGCTGTGGCTCAAGTGGTAGAGCGCTAGCTTTGAGCTGAAGAGCTGAGGGACAGCGCGCAGGCCCAGAGTTCAGGCCCCATGACCGGACCCCCAAAAAAAAGAAAAGAAAAGGAAGGGAAATGAAGACCCACCAATCAGATGCTTTTTCCAATGGCCCACAAGATTTGCCCCCAATCTGAACACAAAAACCCATAGACGATATCATGGCCACATTTCAGTCTTTCTGAGTCCCTTCTGTGTGGGAGTTTTTTTCTCTGTTTCAATAGAACATTTTGTTTAATGATCACTCATTGTTCAAACCTTTGTTCCTTGACTGTCATCAGGCCTGAACTTGACTCCCACAACCCAGTCTCAGTGCAATGTAATTTTTTATTAAATTATTTCTGTTGTTATTATAAAGATGATGTACAGAAAGGTTACAGTTACATAAGCCAGACTAAAAGTACATTTCTTCTGGGGCAATGCCACTCCTTGCTCTCTTCCAGTTTTCCCCTTCCATCTCCATCCACAAATGGTATAGTTCATTTTCAACACAGTGTCTGGTGAGTATCACTGAATGTAATGTTTTAATGGAATGCGGGAAGAAACCCAAGAAGCCTGTCCAATTTTGCTTGACCTATTAGTGTAGTATTTCATAGTCCTGAACATAGAATAGCATAACTTTAAAATGAAGGTTTTCAAAGAAAAAAGGAAAATAATGATTTCTCTGGATTTTCTGGCTTATTTTAGAGGAAAGTGGTTCGTGTTCCTATGATCCAGGCTAGATGCTGGTGGATCATACCTGTAATTCTAGCTATTCAGGAGGCTGAGATCTGAGGATTGAGGTTCAAAGCAAGTTTGGGCAACAAAGTCCATGAGACTCTTATTTCCAATTAAGCACCAAAACAGGTAGAAGTGGAGCTGTGGCTCAAGTGGTAGACACAGAAGGGAAGACAAGATTAGAAGGAAAATTTGCTTCTGAGGTTGCTTCTAAGGCCTTCCTTTATCTTTTAAGTACACAGCATGCCAAAGTGTCATACTTTGGGCTATTGTTTTCTGAGCCCCAATGTCCTAATATGTGTTAGATGATTTAATAAAATGAGATTCAAATGTGAAAGTGTTTAATTTTGGAGATAAGACCCACAGAAAAGCCATTTACAATGTGCTATCATTAATGCACACCACTGGGTAAAAACTGAAAGGACATACAAAACAGCTGAGGGCATGGCTCATATGGCAGAGGGCTTGCCTAGTAAGTGCAAAGGCTTAATTTCCAAACCTCAGTACCAGACATGCATGTGCGTGCACATGTGCGCACACACACACACACACACACACACACACATACAATTGCATCTGTGACTGGAGTTTAGAGGGAGCTGAAGTCTTTCAGTGGGGGAGGTCAGTCTCATGACAAGCTCAAGGCAGGTGTGAAGAAATACACCACAGATGATAGTGAAGTTAAAGGCCAAAGGCCTTGGGAAAGATGGGGGGAGCTGGGGAAAGGATCACAAAATTTCAGTGTTAGAGCCACGCACCTGTGGCATATGCTACTCAGGCGGCTGAAATGTGAGGATTGAGGATCGAGGTTCAAAGCCAGCCTGGAAAGGAATGGCTATGAGATTTTTATCTCCAATTAACCACAAAAAGCTGGAAGAGGAGCTGGACTCAAGTGGTAGAACACTAGCTTTGGGCACAAAAGCTTAGGGACAGTTCAAGCCCCAGGACTGGAAAAAAAATAAAATAAAATTCAGTATTGGAAAGGACAAGCACATATATCACACATTTCAAATCAGGACATATGCTCAGGAATTTTCTATGCCATTTGGCCTTGAACCTCAATTATAGGTGAGCCACCAGCACCCAGCTCAAATTGGCATCTTAAAGACCAAGAGTCCTAGCTGAGTGCTCTTAGCTTCTGCCTGTAGTCTTACTCACAAGGCTGAGATGTGAGGATCATCATTTGAAGCTACCCCTGAAAGGAAAGTCAGTGGGACCCTTTTTTTCATTTGTCAGTTGTGGAGCTTGAACTCAGGGCTTGAGTATTGTCCCCTGAGCTTTTTTTTGCTGGTCCTGGAGATTGAACTCAGGGCCTGGTTTCTGTCCCTGAGCCTCTCTGAGCTCAAGGAAGTCGCTCTAACACATGAGCCACAGTGCCACTTCCAGCTTTTTCTGTTTTTTAAACCTTTTTCTGTTTATGTGGTACTGAGGAATCAAACCCAGAGCTTCATGCCTGCTAAACACTCCCCCACTAAGCCACATTCCCAGCCTCTGTCCCTGAGCTCTTTTGCTCTCTAACACTTTGAGCCATCGCACCACTTCCTCAGTGAGACTCTTATCTCTAATTAACCTCTAAAAAGGTGGAAGGGGAACTGTGGCTCAACTAGTAGAGTGCCAGCCTTGAGGAAAAAAGCTAAGGGACAGAGTCTAGATCCTGAGCTCAAGCCCCAGTACCCACACAAAAGATAAAGAACAAAGAAAATAACCACAGGCACAATGCGATGGGCTGTATCCATTATTTTAGTTATTCAGAGAAAGATTTCATTGTTACATTTCTACGTATGTTTACAATATATTCCACTCAATCTTTCCAACTAGAACTTACATATTTCCTCCTCCAGCTCAATAACAACGTCTCTGGAAGGTACAGTAATGATGGAACCTGTGTAATCATAAGGATAAGATTAAGGTTCTTCCAAAAAAAATTTTTATTGTAAAAGTGGTGTAAAGACAGGTTACAGTTACATAGGTCAGGTAATGACTACAGTACTTTTTGAACTGTGTCACCTCTTCCCTCCTTTTCTCCCAGTTTATCCCTCCTGACCCTCCTCCCCCACAAGTTGTATAGTTCAGTTTCAACATAGTGTCTAGTATCACTGCTGAATTACTTCACCTTTGTCCCACCATTTATTTCTGTGTTTCCCCTACCCTCCCCAAATCAGCTAAACTTACACACAAGACAAAGGGTTACCACAGTCCTTCTTTTGGCTGTCCTACAAACACATTTGTCATTTGCCTGCTATGTACAATTGCAAAAATGTCCAGCCCTAACATAATCCATGGACAACTGCAAAATGTATTCAACTGCTGCATCCAGAAATAGTGGCATTCCTGAACACCTCCCATCCTCTTCTAGTTCAATATGGCTCCTTTAGATCTTATAGCCTATAATTAAACATAATTGCCACCAATATTTCTAATATGTTCCAGGACCCATGGCACATGTCTGTAATCCCAGCTACTTGGGAGATAGGAGAAGCTGCGTCAGAGACTAGCCTGGGGAAAAGTACAGGACCTTAAACTCAAAATAAACAAAGTGGGGAAGCCAGGCGCCAGGCTCACGCCTGTAATCCCAGCTACTCAGGAGGCTGAGATCTGAGGATCACAGGTCAAAGCCAGATGGGCCAAGAAAGTCTCTGAGAGAGACTCTTATCTCCAATAAACAACTAGAAAACCGGAAGTGGTGCTTGGCTTAAGTGGTAGAGTGCTAGCCTTGAGCTGAAGAGCTGAGGGACAGAGCCCAGGCCCAGAGTTCAAGCCCCATGACTGACCAAAAAAAAAAGTGGGGGGGATATGGCTCAAATGACCGAGTGCTTGCCTAGCAAGTAGGAGTCCCTGAGTGTAACCAATAAGAATATTAGATCTACTATGAAATAATTAAAAACAACCAAATTTCCTTTTTAGAAAAGAAGACATTGCACTAATTAATCAATTACCAGTTGTAAGGAAACATCCATTCCACCTGAATAGGAGTCAGGGAAATAAATTTCAGGTGTAAAAAAAAAACTCATGGGAGGGGCTGGGAAGGTGGCTCAGTGGTTGAGTGCTTGCCTTGCATGCCTGAGGCCCTGGGTTCGATTCCTCAGCACCACATAAGCAACAAGAAAAAAGCCGGCAGTGGCACTGTGGCTCAAGTGAGAGCGCTAGCCTTGAACTGAAGAGCTGAAGGACAGCGCCCAGGCCGAGTTCAAGCCCCATGACTGGACCCCCCTCCAAAAAAAACAAAAAAACTCATGGGATAAAGAAAAATTTTTTGGTACTGATTTGGGGCTTGAACTCTGGACCTGGGCACTGTCCCTGAGCTTCTATGCTCAAGGCTATCACTCTACCACTTGAGTCACAATGCCACTTCTGGCTTTTTCTGTTTATGTGGTACTGAGGAATGAAACCCAGGGCTTCATGCATGCTAGGCAAACACTCTACCACTAAGCCACGTTCCCAGCCCTTCTCCATCTTTATTCCTTTTCAAGACACTGGTCTCTCTCCTTTCACTTGGCTTGTTTTCATGAGTAACCTACACGCACTGCTTCATTATCTTCTTATTCCTTGCCATTTTGCTTTGTTCAATGAGTGCTTTACAGTGAATTCTTTGGTAGTTTGGGGCCTTTTTGCTTTTACATCCCAATAGACGTTCTTAGATAATTCTTAGATTCCTTTAGATCTCTCTTGGGTTCTGGATTTTTGTGGTTTACCATAATCTAGCACCTTCCAGTACATTCCAAGAAAGATGTGAGTACACGTTCAAATCTTGTTTTCCGCTCTGTATTCAATGATGACAGGGTTTACAGGGGGTTTCAACAGAGAAGCGCGTTGAAAATAGTTTTCGTTTTTTTTTTTTTTAAAAGATTGCGATGAAATTAGAACGCTTGCAACTATTTTGAAGAGCTTCTACATGTTGAAGAGCTCCTACACAGACTGATTCACAGTTTGGAAACAAAGACCCTAAGTATAGGGTTCCAAAGATAGAGTATCTAGTTTGCGTTGGCAGTGATCTCCCTGACCAAAGAGACCTGCAGAGCAAAGGCTATACAATTTCATTTTGTCTCTGCATTGTCTTGGGCAAACCTAAGTTTTACCATTTCTAACTGAGCTACTACTCTTCAAAGAATTTCAGGAGCCAGACGTGGGTTAGTATAGAAATGGTAGTGGTTATTTTTATGCTTCATGCTTTTTTTTCTTCTTCATTGCAAGCTATGCAGATTATTTGATCTATGGAAGGGAAATTTCTCCTTCCCAGAGAAGTTTAGCTTACTTTAGCCAAATGCAATCACTTCGCTCTATTTCCTTTCCCATAAAGCATCGCTCCTTCCTCCAACACCTCGTTTTCCTAGGAATAGCAGTAAAGTGCCTGAGGCAAAACAGTGGTCTGCAAAGAGTTGCCTGAAAATTCTAAACATACATCTTCGTCCCCCACCTCTTGTAACCCGGTAAGCCTCAAGGGTGGTGTTCTCATTCGCTGGCTGTATCACGAGGCCACACACGAGATGACTACAACTCCCAGGATGCCGATCGGTCCCGCCCCGCCCCCCTTTTCCAGCTGGAAAGCGTTTATCATAGAGAAGACGAGGCAACATGGCTCCCGGAGGTGGAAGGAAGAAGCTTCACCACCTTTGAAATGGTGACGAGCAGTGGAAGAGGACAAAAAAGAGAGACGTGACGACAGCCTTGACAGCGCTTTTGTCCTCCCAGCCTCTCCAGGGTCTGGTCAGCCTCACCCCTCCTCTCCATCCTTATCCAATCTGTGGTCTCTTTCCCTCCGCTTCCCAGTCCCCGCATCCCTCCCGTCGGGAATCCTGTCCCCGCCCCCCTCGCCCCCCACGGAGTGCGCACGCGCTCGCCCCCAGCTTCGCGCCCAGATCTTCGCCAGCTTGCTTGCGCAGCCGCTGTCTCATCTGCCCACTGACCAAGCATGGGCGTCCAGGGCTTCCAAGAGTTCCTGGAGAAGCGCTGTCCGGGGGCCGTGGTGCCCGTGGATCTTCTCAAACTCGCGCGCACCGTTTCACGCCAGCAACAGCAGCAGCACCTGCACCGCCAGCTGCCGCCGACGGCAGCCTTAGCGCCCGGGGCTGCGCGCGCCACCCGGGGCTCCGGTCCTCTTCCGCCGCCGTTCCCGCCTGCTGCCTTGGGTGCCTACGCCGGGGGCGCGGGGCCCGCTCGGCACCATCACCCTGCTCACCACTTCCATCACCACGGCCAGGCGCAGCCCGGGCTGCCCCCGCCGCTGCCCCCGCCGCCCCCTCCGCTGCCTGGGGCCCGGGTGCTAGTAGACGCGGGCTCAGCGCTGCCGCGGCTCTATGGCGGCTACCAGACGGATTGGGTGTGTGGCGGCCAATGGAACGCCATGCTGGGCTACTTGTCAGCGCTGTGCCAGGCTTGTGCCTATCCCGGCGGCGACGGCCTGGAGCTGGTGGTTATGTTCCCGGGGGGCCTGGGCAAGGACCGATTGGCCGAGTGGGGCCGTCGGTGCCAGGCCGAGCGGCAGACAGCGCAACTGATCGTGGGACACGTGGGCAACAAGGGCACCCCTCCACCGCGGGCCTGGTTCCTGCCACCTGCCTGCCTGAGCCACTGCGTGAGGCTAGCACTCATCCGCTTCCGGGTCAAGGTGAGGGAGGGGCCGGATTTTAAATAACACTTTTCACACCTATTCCCTCCCCACCTAACTCCTAACCACTCCGCTAACCTAATTGCTCAAGCTAGTTTTGTTCACCTTTACCCTCCATGTCACCTGCCCCCCCCATCAATTTACTCACCTCATTGACCACATCTCCATCCCTGTCATCCTAGCATTTCCCTTTACTTTCACTTACCCAGTTGGCCTACCTCCAGGTTTTAGCACAATTTAGTAAGAATTTCTTTTGAGCCATACCCTTCTCCTGTGGCCTTTTTCAAACTGCAATACCTTGTCCCTGCATTTTTCCTGTTGACATCCTCCTGTAACTCTTTTCCAACCTCACAACAAATCTGCTCATCATGTTAATTAGACACCTTTCTTCTGCATATTCTCCTATTTTAATCCAGTGCTTCTAACCATTCAACCTTTTTCATTTGATCACAATTCTGTCTCCTCCTCCTTTAGCCTAACAAATTATTTTTTAAGAGAAAAAGAAAAAAAGCAGCACTGATTCAGTCACTGTTCAACAAGTATTAACCCACTGTAAGGTTTGAAAGACATGGGAGACACCCTTCCCTTAGAAAATCAAACATATACACACAGAACATTTGTTTAATTATATCAATGTGTACTGTGACTGTGCTTTGCTTTGTGGTGCACACGGTAAGTACAGTACTTGTTTGTGTGTGTACATGTGTGTGAAGGGGTTGGTAATCTGGATAAAATGGTGGGGGGAGACTTCCTGAAGAAGTTGGGCCTCACCTAGATCTTCAAGGATGGGTTGGATTTGAATGGATTATGGGTTTGGGATGAGGTTGCTTTAAGTGGGAGAAAGAAAATGAGCAGAAGCAAAAAGGAATACCAAGTGTATGAGGCCCTGGGGGCTGTTAAGTCCAATCTGCCTGGAGTTGGGTCACTGCATATGGGGCCCAGGGAAGAGCTTGGCAGCATCTCCAGTTCTTGGCACCACTCTATTGCTCTGTTGCTTTTAGGTTTCAAGTTCCTACGTGGAAGGAATAGCAAGGCATGAGGAGTAAGGAGGTGGGCAGGAAGAAGTAGCAGCAAGAAAAATTGTACAGGGTTGAATTGGATGAAACTACAAATCCATTCCCCAACCTAGGGAATGTAGTCATTGGATGGGGATTGTGGGCTTCACCAGCTAGAGAAGTGGTGCCTGGTGGAGTAATGAAAGAAATCTCAGCTAAGAGATTGCAAGATTTGCTACAAAGAGAAGCTTGCAGTGCTTACTGAGCTTGTGGTGAGAGTCCAGTAATGCTAGACTGCAAGTGGCCAAATCAAATCTTTGCCTTGATGAAATACATCACAGTTGTTTTAATTTCTTAAAAATCCAGTTATGAGCCGGGTGCTGGTGGCTCACGCTTGTAATCCTAGCTACTCAGAAGGCTGAGATCTGAGGATCACAGTTCAAAGCCAGCCTGGGCAGGAAAGTCCGAGAAGTAGCTCCAATAAACCACCAGAGAACCGGAATGGCTCAAGTGGTAGAGCGCTAGCTTGAGCTGAAGAGCTGAGGGACAGTGTCTAGGCCCAGAGCTCAAGCCCTACAACTTATAAAAAGAAAATCCAGTTATGAGGCTGGGGACTGAACTTGGTGGTAGAGTGGGTACTGTATAACAACCTCACTTGTCCTAGACATTCCAAAGTAGATTCATTCACAGCCATTCTTTCCACATTGTTTTTATTGCTTCTACCCAGGCTTTAAGGATATGTTTGTTTCTTGGTATGAAGACTTCAACTCAAGGTTTTCCCCTCATGCTAAGCAAGTGCTCTGATATTTCAGTCACCTCCCCCCCTCAGCTTTTATCTTCCTTTTCTAACCTCATTGTTACCAGCAACCTGATTGTTGGCAGTAGTGACAACACTGATGCAATGCTTACTCTGTGTGTGTGTGTGCCTGTGCGTGTATGCATGCACATGCACCCATGTGTGCAAGTGTATTGTGCTGGGGGTTGAATCCAGGGCCACAAGCACACAAGGCAAATATTCTACCACTGAACTACAAAATGCTAGCCTGCTTTAAAAAATTGAATGCCTCGGGGCTGGGAAGGTGGCTCAGCGGTAGAGTGCTTGCCTTGCCTGCATAAGGCCCTGGGTTCGATTCCTCAGCACCACATAAGCAGAAAAGGCTGGAAGTGGCACTATGGCTCAAGTGGTAGAATGCTAGCCTTGGGCTGAAGAGCTGAGGGACAGCATCTAGACCTTAGAGTTCAAGCCCCACAACTGACAAAAAAAATATTGAACATCTCATTGGATCCTCGCAATAACCTAAGAAGCACTGTTACCTTTGTTTTCCAAATGGAGAAACTCAGGCCCAGGAACTTTAGAAATTTTCCCAAAGATACCCAGCAATAAGTGGCAGAGCTGGGATTCTGGGATTTGTGCCCATGCTGTCTGGCTTCAGAGCTCATGCTCTTAACAACAGTTGCTCTAAGTTGAAGCTTTCTAAAGTGCCACTGTGATTAGGCCATTTCCATACTCAGCTTTTCCTTGGTTTGCTTCTTTCATTTATGTTATTCCTACTGAGTACTTGCTGTAAGGGCAAGTACTATGCTGCTTGCTGAAGATTCAGAGGTAAATAAGGGAATTCCTGCTCTCAAAGAGGTTAGGCTTTAGTGAAAGAGACACACTGAAAAGTAGAATTATAGATCCTGCACACTAATTGCAAGTGATGAAATGTGGCCCCTCTGAGAGACATGGTAAGTTCTGAGTGAGTGAGTGAGTGAGTGAGTGAAGTTTGGGAGAGGCTTCACAGATCAATGCTGAGCCAGGAAGAGGCCTAAGGATAATGCCGTAGATAGTGGGCAATGGTGTGGTCTTAAAATGGCTGTTGGAGTTCTGAAGAATTTTTGATTGGAGATGGGCAGGAGAGATGAACACTGAGTATAGTTTGTGGTTTCAAGACTTTGTTCGTATATTTCTGATAGTCAAAAGTTTTTGAGAAGCAATTCCAATATATACATATATACACCCATATATATACACACACCTGCACACACATATATACACACATGCACACATATATGTATGTATGTTTTTTGGGTTGTGCTGGTACTGGGGCTTGAACTCAGGGCTTGGGCTTTTTTGCTCAGGGCTAGTGCTCTACAACTTCTGATAGCTCCACTTCCAGCTTTTATTTTTGGATGCTTAATTAGAGATAGGATCTTAGGAGTTTTCTGCCTCAACTGGCTTCATGATCCTCAGATCTCAGCTACCTGTGTAGCTTGGATTACAGGCATGAGCCAGGGGCATCAACCCCAAGTATGTATTTCAAATGCTAACACTGGCCAGACACTGGCAGGTGCTGTAGTCCCAGCTACTTGCCAAACTGAGTTTGAGGCCAGCCTGAATAACCCTGTCCCTAAAATTAGAAGTGAAAAATAAAAATTCCAGCAGTTCATAAAAGTGGTTGGTTTGAGGGGCTGGGAAGGTGGCTCAGTGGTAGAGTGCTTGCCTTGCATGCCTGAGGCCCTGGGTTCAATTCCTCAGCACCACATAAGCAAAAAGAAAAAAGCTGGAAGTGGCACTGTGGCTCAAGTGGTAGAGCGCTAGCCTTGAGCTGAAGAGCTGAGGGACAGCACCTAGGCCCAGAGTTCAGGCTCCACGACTGGACCAAAAAAAAAAGGTTGGTTTGAATAAATGGGTGGATATGTTTTATGAAAGATAGATTCTCACTGGTCAGTAGTTGAATGTTCACTGTAAAATTGTTTCTATTGTTCATCATAAGGGCTAGGAATGTGGCTTAGTGGTAGAGTGCTTGGCTAGCATGCACTAAGCCCTGGGTTTGATTCCTCAGCACCACATAAACAGAAAAAGCCAGAAGTGGTACTGTGGCTCAAGTGGTAGAGTGATAGCCTTGAGCAAAAAGAACCTCAGGGACAGTGCTCAGGCCCCAGTACTGGCAAAAAAAAACAAAAAACAAAAGAACAAAGTTGGTAATAAAATTTTGGGGACTGATTTAGTCCCAGCAGTTCTTTTCAGTCCTGAGCTCCGTTGGAGAATATATAAATCTTACTGTCTATGTTAAATTGTAAACCCATTCTGAATTTTTGTCCCTTCATAATGGCTTGTATATTTTGGGTATAGGATTTCCTTTTTCCTAAATGAACAGGTAATTAATCTTAAGAGAATGGGTTGAAGAAGTGACTTTAAAAAGTGTATAGTTTGGGGCTGGGAAGGTGGCGCAGTGGTAGCGTGCTTGCCTTGCATGCCTGAGGCCCTGGGTTCGATTCCTCAGCACCACATAAGCAAAAAGGAAAAAGCCAGAAGTGGCGCTGTGGCTCAAGTGGTAGAGCGCTAGCCTTGAGCTGAAGAGCTGAGGGTCAGCGCCCAGGCCCAGAGTTCAGGCCCCATGACTGGACCCAAAAAAAAAAAAAAGTGTATAGTTTGCTTGGTGTGGTACAGCATGTCTGTAACCCCAGCATCCTAGAGTCTGGGATTGAGGGTTTGGGGCTATAAATAGTGAAACCTCTATCTTCAAGGAAAAGTGTATGATATGGTGTGTGTGTGTACATGCGTACTATGATATGGTGTGTGTGTGTGCGTTTACATGCGTACCAGTACTGGGGCTGAACCTGGGGCCTTGTACTATTTCTTTTTGTTGGTCATGGGGCTTGAAATCAGGGACTAAGCATTGTTCCTGAGCTTTTTCGCTCATAGCTAGCAATCTACAACTTTGAGCCACAGTACCACTTCCAGTTTTCTGGTGTTTAATTGGATAAGAGTCTCATAGACTTTCCTGCCCGGGTTGGTTTCTAACTGTGATCCTCAGATCTGTACTTCCTGAGTAGCTAGGATTACAAATGTGAGCCACTGGCACTGCTTTGCACTCTTGCTTGCCTTTTTTTGCTCAAGGCTGACAGTTTCTCACTTGAGCCATAGCTCCACTTCTGGCTTTTTGGTGGTTAATAGGAGATAAGAGTCTCACAAGGACTTTCTGCTTGGGCTGACTTTGATCCTCAGATCTCAGTCTTGTG